TTGAAATGATACGCAGAATAGCATCCAGTTGTGATGAAGTTAACAAGTGAGGATCTCGAAAACAGAATAAGAACGTAGTTGGTCGTTATGATCTCTACTGAATGTATTCTTGATTCTTGATGTTTAGATGTTTGTATTATTGTTATCGTTTGAAACAAGTACTGAGCAGCATTATGTTCAATGTGCTAATGCAGGCCACAGAGGTGTATAGGAAGGCATTTTGATTGGACGCATGCTTTTGACCAGTTATGACAGAACTAATTTCAAAGTGAAGAAACGTGTGGGGTATACTATACTGGTAACAGACGGATTGATGTTACTATATTTTCTTTACTCAATCTTTTCTCAGGTGTGTTTAATTCAGTTGGCTGCTTTTATTTACAATACATGAATATCAGTGGAAGACACTTTATTGGATCAGCTTTAGTCCACTACTGTATTTCAAATAGTTTTACTGCAAGCAACCCAAATGAAGTGAACACTGACTTGATAATTTTTTGACGTACTTTGAGTTTTTAGGTTTGTTCATGGACGCTTCATTAACAGGTAAGGTGGCTTCATCAGATAAATACTGATAAAGTCCCCTAGCCTAGAAGTCAGACATTCTAGAACAAACCTCAAAGCTTGGAGTATCTTGAGCTACAGATCTTCTTTACGGTCTCAGACGTTGATCTTAATACTTCCTAATTGTCATGAATGTGAAGTTAACGATTTAGATCTTATGAAATTGAAATTCACAAAAACAAATTCCTGTTATCTGTGAGATAAATAACTTTGAAGTGATCAGAATCTGGTAACAGTATTTCTTTACTATCTATACGTGTGGGAAAATTGAAGTTGGCAAGGTTTACCGTGTACACATACATTCTTCAAACGATAATATTTTTGCAGCTTAACTGAGAAAATGAAGATGTGAGTAACGCAGAGAACAGTAAGTTTTCTCTACTCACCCTTCAGTCTTTTTATGAAAAAGCATCATGAGGTCAACAATAACAGATTCAACTAGAAATCATATAGATCTTCACAGAATAGGCATTTTCATAGAAGTATTGGCAATGTCCGAAATACTGTTTATTGTTTCATGGAGTTTATGTTTACATCAATATTTCATAAAAAACAGGATATTTTTATGATAAACACTGCCCTAAGTGCCGTCTGTGCCAATATCAAGAGATTGGTAAGCCCAAAAAAGTTATCGGTTTTCGCAGGCGTTAAAATTTTCAAGACCAGATATTATTGTATACATTTCAACATAGCCTCACAGGCAGCAGTCAGCTTCACCATAATATATAATCTTCCTTATATTTCTTATTCTGTCTCCTTGTTAAACGTTAGGTGTGTACGTTGATGTCAGTCGTATATCATAAATTGTCGATAACTCACATAATTTCTCCATTTTTTATTAGTACTCTTTTCATTTCAAGTCGAGCAGTCTCCGAGAGTAAAGTCTTTGGCTGCAGCACTGTGTGATGCAAGTTCTAGTCTCACAGAAGATGTCAATTCCCTTGAGTTTGCAGATCCACCTTGGTGAAGTGTATCAGCGAACACAAAATCTGGGTTCGGCAGAGTTTCATTCAATTACCTCCAACCAACTGATGAACGAGTGTGCAACAGTATCGTAAGTAAACAAGTAGTGAAATATAGAATAAGATCTAGATTAACCATGACCTCACTTTATTTCCCTTTTATAAATACGTTTTGTTAATTTTAGTTTAACACTAATACATTAAAACACGTTTCGGCTGTTTATAAGCTTTTAAGTAACCATATGAATGCACTACACCGATATGTAAGCATCTTTAAAATAGAAAAAAGCATTTTTCCTTTAGAAACAAAGATAAAAAAACATACACTTTATCGTGCGTTAATTCTTTTATATATAACCGCCAATCCTTGTTAGATGCCAATATATGTTTCTTCACTCTGTAAATATAAAGCATATCACTAACAAAACATACCATTACGTAATAGACTATAAATTACATTTAATCGAAGTAATATGATTTTGTGATCTAAATTGAAAGAAACAACTAATTATTGAAGGTTTGTGTTTTCACCGGTGTAAGCCTCATTTTCTATGAGTCATATGAATATGGGAAATTTCTTCTACACTCATAAATTTTCTGACGCTAATACAAAAACTGCAAGCACATTGCTGAGTATTCAGAATAAAATGAAACTACTGCATTCTGTTGAAGTACCTGGAGGTTCATCAGTTATGCGAATTTGTTAGTGCGAAGTAACCGATGTAACTGTCTGGTCCTCCGCGCTCACGGCTGATAGAATTCTGAAGAGCTAATAGGCAAAGTAATGTGACGTGTTGCAATGCGTTATGTTGTAAAATGATGTGGAACATTCGACAGGATGTCAGTGACCAAGATTTTTTGCCTGCTGACAGTGATCAGTAAAATGCATCTGTAATCCAACTATCGAATCAGTTAGACTGTTATCCACATTGTAAACTTGACCAATTGATTTCAAACGACTCTGATCACCAGGGACTAAAGAATGACATCGTTCTCCTGATGATGACTAGTTGATATACATGGTCCAGTGCTACCTATGGTCAGTCATGATTTGAACACTGAATAGTGCAGCCGAAAGTCACTGAAGGAAAAGAAGTTTGCACATGATTCTGGATATGGCATGCTGATGAATGTTAAAAACAACAAAACCTAATTCTAGGAATTCTCGCTAACCGACTTTCAACACTCAACACAATTTTCGGCTATTTCAGTGCAATTTCTGCAGATATGAGTTTATTACCTTACCTTGTAGTGTAAGCACCATAAATTCCACGTTCTAAAACTTTGAACTTTGGTGTCTGTCAATTCCATAACAACTATACATGCACTTTTGTTGGAGCAAGTGTTTTGTATTGGCATGTTCCTCCTTCAGCAGAATCATGACAATCTTCTACATGACGGTGATTTAAGTCTGAGAGATCGAGATACTATGAGAAATACTTTGTGTAGCTGTGTGTGCAGAAGAGTTCCAAACCTAAACATCTTACCTAAGAACTCTTCAGTTGTACGGGTGAATGAAAAGAAATGAATTCAAGAATTGAAAATTATTTTTTAGTGGTGGATGGTTGTTGTGAGACGTACCATTTTTTGACAAGTTGTTGGCAGTCTTTCTTATTCGAAAACACCCTGGAGATGTGGAATTCATCATTCAACAATTATGATAGCTCAAAAGCTATTTGAGTAAACAAAGAATATCCTTTTAGGTAACCTCTTCAGTTCCTAAAGTTATTTGTACATATTGAGAAATAATAAGTCAAAAAATATGGAGATTTCGCTTATTAGTTGTTCTGTAATATTATACAGTCAAAAAAGTAAATTCAGAAAAGCTTTTTGTGAACATAACTGATAAGAATAGATATAACCGCGATCCGGTCCAAAGTAGATAACTATCTAAATGTTGATGCTTTAAGGTGATATTTTCATGAACAATAGGAACGTGGTTATCAGGGCCGGATAAAATAGACTAAGAAATACAGAATGAGAAATAATATCTTAATGGAATGCTACTCATGTTGGAGGACAAAATAGATTAAGAGAACAGGGATGAAGAAATGTGTACATTATGGAGTTATAAAGTTAGTTTACCTGGGATGAGATAGGAGAGGGATTTATGTATCCCGAATCGGGCCAAAGTGCTTGTAGCGGAAAAACATGCCTTTTTTGGACACAACCTTAGTTGTTTGATCCTGATTGCTACTTCTTCAGCAATCCGAAGGATTTGGAGCCCGGTACGTTTTGCCAATTTGATGAGAAGCTAGTACAGAATGGAAAACAACTCATTCATGTCCACTTTGTGGTTCGTTTCAACTGTGTGTACTAATATGGAGCCGGTAATGGTTTTGACCAAATCTTTGCTCAACCACGCAGGCAAATGTTCAAAAACACAAGAAATTACATTATTTGAGCAATGGTCAACGTAGCTAGCTCCACAAGAGCAGTCGAACTTATAAAAGCAACAAGAAGTTGCTAGACTAGACAATTCGTTTTTCAGCCTCACTACTGGGAGTGGGAAGGATGAAATTTATAATTTACTGCCATTAAAAGTTCTCTGAATTGATCTGTGCAGTTTGTGAACTAGTACCTTTCTAATCACGTCACCTCTAAACTGCACCTGAAAGTATACTACTTTTCGGCTAACCATTGAGAGATCTTTTCTTGTCATTTTTGTAATAATATGTTTCTTTATGAATTTATCAAAATAGCCATTTTCGATTAGTGTGTTGCTTAAATTCGTCAATTCTTTCTCAACTATATACTCTAAACACATAGCCCTCATTCTGTAACTTAAAGTTTGTTCTAAATTTCTGTTTTTCTGAAGGGGAGTGAGGCTGTGAACATGTGTGTACTGCTTTATTCACAGACTTCTCCTAGAAATATTCATTTTTAATGACCAACCTTTTTGTCTTACAAAATGATAACACCATGATTTAAAAGTGAATACTTTGAGTTTACCGCTGTTCTGCTGCAGACATATTTTACATTATATTCATCTACTACTTTATCAAGCAACACCCCTTCTTGTTTGTTCGAAATATTTCATCTCCTGTTTTCTCTTCTGAGACGAACTGACATAAAAAGATATTTCTTAGACCAAACGCTTAGTTAATTATAATTAACTGACTTCTCCAGCTTCGAAAGCATATTCATTTAAAAGAACTGAAGATGATAATCAGCTAGTCTTGAGTGTTTGTTAAGTAATGAATATTGTGCTCTGCAGCTACTGTATTCGACTGTAACTGACAACAAAGTACCACTTTTCTACTCTAACCCTCCCTTTCTAGGAATTTCCTAAGCTTTTATCGGTATTGTAAGGAAGAAAATAAGTGATTATTATTGGTTTATGGTCTGTAATGTGGATGGTATGGCCAAAATACATGAGTATTATATTTAGCCGTAAGAAATGACCAATAGGAAGAGCGCAAAATAATGAGCATACCAGATAAATAGAACACACTTTTATTCCTAAGGCTATTATAAGAAGTTAATGGTCGAAGTCTGTTACTAAAGGTAAGTAAATCGCATGTTAGATCCATACTTTCTACCGATACTTTTATTCATATTTTAATCAGCATGTGTTATAATAATATTTACACTGTAAAACTCTTCATGCAATATACTACATATCTAGTGTCACGTTTTTCAGAGTTTGAACCGACAGATGAGGAGGTATCCGATTTCCACAGTTATGTCCACATAAAACTAGTATTTTGTTGTGCTTCACAATTCAATGTCTGATTTCTTTACAGCGTAGCCTTTGTTCAACAACTAAGTATAGGAAGTTGTTTTAAAAACACAAAAATAAAACTGTAAAATAAACTTATATGTCGCTTATTTTATCCAAGAATTTCTGCCATTATCTGATGCTCATCGGAAATTTAAATTTAGTCGAGAAGCTTTAGGATACACCAACGTTGTATTTTGTTGTTAAGCCTTTCCCTCAACGATAACACTTTTAGATACTTCACAACTTCAGTGACAATACGGTTGTATGTGGCGAGTATACTTACACTTTTACCATTCAACCTTCATCCTACAGTGACACTGGTGACATTGAAATATAACGACTGTGATATGTTAGTGGATGAATATTTAGGTTCATAATTATTTAAATGTTTGTTCGATTGTATTGTGTTGTTTGAAAATTTATTTTTAAGGTCTGGTATACGTAAAGCAAGAGAAAAATAAAAGTCTTTATTCTCTATCGAAGGAGGCATTGAAAAGTTTTGGAGTTGATGACTGTTTTAACTTGAAACTGAAAATAAGACTGCTATCTGCATGGTAGTTATCTCCGCCATTTGAATTACTTAAACAATCAGTTCACTCAGATCAACATAATGCTAAGTAAAACTCAACAGTTTTACTGTGTAGTGTAATGCAAACAAGGGTTGTTGATGAGAACAGTACATAGAAGCGAACATTGTTGCACTAAATTTGATCCACTGCCATGACACAAATTTCTATCTAAGTTTTAATTACTATCCAATATCGGAAATATTAGCGTGTCAAAGCACAGCTATCTGAAAATATCATACCAATACACATATTCATTTGTATATACTACGTTGGATCTGACTCAGTGACTGAGTAGCTAATGTCTTCGCCGAAAGAACTGAGAATCTTGGGTCCTATTACTGATGACGTCATGGATGCACGCTGCTGAAGAACATTTGTCTATTGACTCCAGGTTTTGTAAATATATGTACACATATATATATATATATATATATTATGTCATAAAGATTAAACTAACCATAGTGATTTGTCAGTCACTCATAAGTGTTTTTTTTAATGTCAAGGTAGTAGTAATTAATTTTATAATTAGAAAACTAAAAAATGTGTATTACTAAGATATGGGGTGGTTGAAAAATTTCATTGGTAAACCTGCATATCATGCTTTCTCTGGCTAGAGATGTACAAACGTCTTCTGAGTATAAACACTTAAATGATGCGTAAAAGAGTTGTCTCACTTAATCCAGCTTGAAAGTAATCACAACGAAGTACCTTACATTTTTGTAACTGAGCAGTCCATTTTAATGGAATTATATAGGGCATATTTTTTTGAAAAGGTCTTCATGTTTTATCTATACAGGATTAGAATTCGGTCACTGCGGTAAAGTACAACTATAAGGAAATTTATGAATGCCGTTTTATACTACACCATGTTTTATGATTTTCCATGCAATTAATGAAAGTACAACTTGTTGATAGTGTGGAAATGAGATGTCAGCCAACTTGTAAAACTGTCAAAAAACAACTAATACCAACAAATCGTGGGCATACATGTTAACTGTTATTTTTGAAAAACATTTCTACAGTTAACGTTACCTCAAAATAAGAAGTCTGTTCTACAAAAACCAAAACAACATATGCTAGTGATTAGAAAGGTGTACTAAAGGCGTAGAAATTCTTTATATTTCCCTTGTGTTCGATGTCCTAGTTTGAATATTATTCTTGTCAAGAAATATTATGTGTAAATATCACATGCACTGTAAGTATACAATTTGATGAAGCGACACAAATAAGAAGCATATTATGCTTATTTACAACTACAGTTTATTCACAATTGTTTTTGTTGTTAAACCTTGAACAAAACTATTTAAGCCTCAGTCAAATCACAAGTTAAAATATTTGTTTCCCTATACAAATTGGAAACAAGAAGGAAACAATATAACAGCAGATTCTATTGAAATCATAAATTTCAGTAGGACCCGTTAGCTTTTTCTGTGTACTACTATGCAGTGTAAGCATACATATACAGATACAATGCAGACTGAAGCACTGAGTAAGGCATAACAACAAACTGGTAACAATTTAACCAGCTCAAATAAGACTGTGAATAATTTGGACGGGGTGTGTGTGTAATAGATTGATAATCAAGAATCAAAACTGTGAATACTTAGTGTCATTTTAAGGAAAAAACTTTAATTATCGGTCTGTCTGTCGGAGATATCTATGATTCAGCAGACTTGTTCTCATGCTAGGTGACGATTAAAGGTCATATAAAAATCTGAGCCTTAGTAAAATTCAAACCAGTAACCAACAGCCTATTAGTCAACTAAATAACTTAATAGCGCTGCACAAATAAGGAACTGTAATTGTTAGGTAAACAAAGATAGTTATCACAGTTTTAATAGGAGCGGTTATTATGATGAGATTGTGAATGAAAAGTGGAAAGATTGATAATATTGAGAACTGCACCACTTTAGGCAGAGTAAATGAACATCAATTAAGAAGCTTAGTCAGAAAATAAAAGTAGAAAAAGCTTAATTGTAATTTGAACAATAACCATATTAACAATAGCAGATGTGATAAGGTAAGAATTAGTTAGAGAGGAAAGGGCGATTCGACGGAATAGCATTAATTAATAGATGAATATACTATGAAAAAAAAAGAAAATAGCCGATAAATCTCTTTACATTACACTGAAACATCCACCATAATACTTTCAAGGTGACAAGCATCTCTTTCTGTGCATGACGACTCAGTTAACGAGCCTGAATCACACAAGCTTCCATTGTCGCAAAAATTTCTTTGTTCCTTTGTTTGATAGAAAGTATGAATGACTTACAAGTATTGAAGGAAACCCGCATAATCGTACGAGAAGATGAAAAAAAGAAGATTAGGAATGGATCTCAACGGACACATGGAAGCTGACAGAGGACAGGAGGGTGGTGAAAAAGAAGATAAACCAGTGCAAGGAGGCACAACGAGAAGAGGAACTGAGTACAACCTATAAAACACTACACTGGACAAAAAAATGAAGGAGAGTGCGTGCATAGACAAAACACACTTCCACGACACACTGGCAAGTGAAGCAGAACAGGCTGCTGGTAGAAGAGGTGGAGATTTGTAACACTGTATCAAATAACCAGGTTACTCACAGGGAAGAGGTTAACACAGATGAAACCAATAAGAGATGATGAAAGAAATTTAATTACCAAAGAGGAGAAACAAAGGAAACAATGAACGACCACTTCACAAAGCATTTGAATCGACCACCACCTGCAACTCGTCCAGAAATACCACGTGCAGCCACAGAAATACCAGTGGACACAAGTCCTCCAACAAAAGTTGAAGTTCTGAGCACCATAAAGCTATTGAAATGGGGGAAAGCAGCAGGACCACATGGAATCCCACTAGAAGCACTGAGAACAGAGGCAGAGACAACAGCGGACATGCACACAACACACTACTACTGCAGAAGGTGTGGAAGGAAAGGAAGGTACCTGGCGACTGTCAGAAGGACTATCTAGTCAAACTCTCGAGGAAGGGAGACCAAAGTGTTTGCAAGAACTGATGAGGAATCATGCTCCTTTCTCTGTTCACCCCAAGCAAAATATTAAGCCGCATCATCCTAGAGGATGCGCTGGATTCAAAACTTCGACGGGAACAGGCTGGCTGACATCAGGAAGTACAAATCGTGTGAGGATCAAATCGCAACACTACGTGACGCATTTTGATAGAACAGAGTATAGAATGACAGTCAACTCAACTCTACCTCAACTTCATCGACTTCAAGAAGGCCTTCGACAGCGTCGACTGATAGCTAATTTGGAAACTGCTACTTCAACACTACGGAATACCACAAACCTGCATCAACCTCATTCAGCGACTATATGAAGACGCCATATGCCAAGTGGTTCATAACGAGAAGCTCAGTGATGCTTTTGAAGTGAAGACAGAAGGGAGTAAGACAAGGCTGTCTACTATCACCCATGATATTCCTGATTGTAGTCGACGGGACTGGAGCATGCAGCAAACAGTGAGGAGCGAGAAGAGGGGGATACGCTGGCTGGGCTGAGGAAGAGAACCTAGAAGATTTGGATTTCGTCGGTGATGACTTGTGTCTGATGTCGCAGAAACTTGAAGATCTGGAGGCGAAATGCAACAAGTTGACAGAAGAGGCGATGCAGGGCAGCGAAGACGGGACTTCAAGTGGACGTAGAGAGGACAGAGGTGATGAAGATACCCAACGAACAACGATAGCAACAACAACACCAACAAGCTCCAAACAGCATCAACGAGAGAAACGTAGAGGAAGTAGCCTCCTTCACCTATCTAGTCAGCATCGTTCCTACTACAGACGGCACAGGCACAGACGAGGAAATCAAAGCCAGCCAGGATCGGAAAGACAGCAAGACAGGCGTTCATTAACCTGAAATCAGTATGGAGATCTTCTGCACTCAGAATAAATCGTGAACAAGATCCGGATATTCAACATTAATGTCAGTGAAGTCAGTGCTTCTATGTGATGGTTGAGAGACTTGGCGCGTTACGAAAGGCATTTCCAACCAAGTATAGATATTCATCAACAACTGCCTACTCTGGCTCGTTACTGAAGCTCAGATGGCCAAAATGATGAGAATAAGCAACAAGGAACTCTGGGAACGAACCAACCAAGAAGCTATTGCTCAACAAATATGCAGTGGAAGTAAGTGGAGATGGATTGGGTATATACTGAGGAGGCTGACTGGGGACATCACGTGCCAGGCCAGTTGCTCGAGTGG